TTAATTGTATACTTGTTTTGGATAGCCATTTGTTAGTTCACATACTTGTATCTTTGCAATGTGTGTTCCATCAGCTTTTACAGAAATGTGACATGGGAAAAGTGAATCAACTGAAAAAATGTTTGGGAAGACTGTAACGAGTCAGTTTAGACATCATACTTTTATTTGCAGTGGTGATCTGTAGCCTCATGTGTGGGCTCTTCCCCCCACCCTGCCTTTGCACCTCATTCTATGTCTGATCTTCAGCTGATTGGCACCTGCAGACCACCCATGTGAGTGGTCTCTAAAAGCACCAGGGAGATGAAATCTGGTTGTTAGTGGGCTTTGCCAGTCCAGCACAAATGTTCCTAAATAAAAGCAGGTTTTCAACTTTTGTGATCTTATTCTGACTGCTTTACAAAATCAGATATATTTTTAGAAGTTAATTTTGTCCTTTACCAGGATTTTTACAAGGTAGACGTGATACTTCCTATCCTGGACATGAAGGCAATGATATTTTAAGTCCTTGTTAGCTTATGTCTGTTTTTAATGAGGTTTTTTGAATGTTTCTGTTTTTAATCTCTCCACACGATGCTCAGCCTTTGGGGTGGCAAAGTAATTCTCAGAGTATGAGTCCTATGCAGTGTTGAATACATACATGGCAGATTTTTCTGCTTCTTTGCTTTTGGGATGGTAGGAGAAAGGTGCATGAATGTGATGGGAAGATGGGTGGTAGAAAGAAGGTGCCTTTGTGTTTTGAGGAGCTGTTGTGCCTCATTTTTTCTCAAAGGGTTTTCCATGAGACATTTAAAAAAATGTCAGGTGAATCTTAGTTGATCTTTTCCATATTTTTGCTGTGTATTTATGCATATCTTCTTACATTTCATGCAGAGATAGTGTAGCTGAAACATCTGGTTTCAACTCTCCTGGCCTAATGTTTCAGTCTAATAGTTTAACTTCATTCCTTGATCAAGGTTTGATACTTGTGGTGCCACTTCTGGTAGTGGTGTTTGCTTCTCCCAGTTGGTGTGTGAGTGAATACATAAATCTTACTGCTTCATGAGTTCACTGCCATTAATTACCAACATAAAGATTCTTGTATTTATTTGAATCTATGCAGTAGGCAAGTTTAGGCATATCCTGATGTACCTCCTGCACAGTTACCATTGTTCTGTGACTTGGCTCCCAGGATCTTGGCCTTTCTACTGTTTGGGATGACCATCTCTCCTATCTGCTATCACCAGCATTAGCAGCCTATGAGCTTGAACGCACAACAGGTGTTACTGCAGGAAATGAAGAGTTTCAGGATTCCGTAAGGAGAGCCGTACCTGATGGTCACACCTTCAAAGGGTTTCCCATCCATTTTGTGCACAGAAATGCCAGGAGAGCATTTGCCACATGTCTTCGGTAAGTCTAAGTGTAAAGATGCAGATACATGTTAAAACTAAATAGTAATCCTCAATTGCTAATTGCAACTCATTTTTTAATAATGAATTTTAGAGAAAATTAATTTCCTTAGGTTAGAGCTGGAGGAAGAGTTGTGTGCTATGTGTAATGGATCATGGGGTACAGAGCTTTTAGGTTACATTGGTGGTTCAGTGGTGATAGACTTCTTATGTATTAAATTGAAGAACGTGGAGTTAATTTAATTTCTCTGCACTTGTTAAAAACGATGAGCAATTGTGTAATTTTCCTGCAAGGCGATAGCCCTTGCACTATAGAGCAGTATTATTATTTGTAATGACAGACTCAAGATACTCATTGGTACTTAAATGCTAGTCACACTTTTAAAAACTTGCACAATGTAATTAAAAGTTTTAACAATGTCTTAGGATTGTCTGTTACTCCTGTGTTTCTTTTTGTCATGTAGGTCTCCTTTTTGTGAAGAAATAATCTGTTGTAGGGGAGACCAAGTGCGACTTGCAGTTCGTGTACGAGTGTTTACATACCCCGAATCTGCGTGTGCTGTTTGGATCATGTTTGCTTGTAAATACCGCTCTGTCCTTTGAAAAATCCCCAAATTATTCATACCTTTTTAGCACTGCAAAATAATGTATGTGGGTGAAAAATTATTCAATTAAAAACTAAGATAGTATTTTATATAAATGCCACTGATTTTGAACACCACGATGTGTGTATTGTATTGAAGGGGATTGTGTATACAGTAATGATTGTATTTATAAAGAGAATTTATTCTTTTTAGTAAAAGTTGCTTTTTATATTTATAGGAATGTGGGTCAAGTTACTAAAATGTGTGCAAAAAATACTGGCTTGCTTTTTGCAGTTCTGAATTGGTGTAAGAATTTATTTGGGAGCAGGCCAGCTTTACCTCTGCAGGGTAAGAGACTCTGTTCTAGCTCTCCTTTCCCTGTAGTGTACAGGGTGTACTTTGTGAGAGACTGAGATCCAGAAATAATGGTGTTAAACATATGTCCTTCAGACAACAATGTTTACTTCTGCCTCTTGTGGATCTAACAGTGACTTCTACATTCAGCTTTTGAAAACAGTTCAGTCAGATAAAGGTAATCTTGATGATCTGTGAATATAATAACATATGGATTCATTAAAAAAATGTGTATTAGGACTTGGATACCTGAAGATGTGAATAGCTATGATGGGTTAGATAAAGTATGATAAACCTGATGCATTTTTCCTCTTGTTACCTTAAGAAGTTTCTGAGGTAGAAGTTGTAGCCAGACCATTTTGCTTGACAACCGTTCATGATTTTGTCTAATTCTGACACTCAGACCTGTACTTAATTACCCATTTGTGGTTTTGTCTGTCTTAAACCTGTGGGTGATGATTTTGTTGAGTGTCTTTATGCTCTGCAAAATGGCAAGCAATTGGGCTTACTGAACTTTTCCCTACCATACCTTTCAGGTTTTTCCCTATGTAGACTCCAGGCATCTCTTCTTGAGGCTGGAACATCTGAAACTCTTTGGTTTCTTCTGTAGAAGCCATTATGTGTCAGTGACAGCTCATGACCACCTCCTTTGGTTCTACTTGTAAGAAAGTGGCCTCTTCTGCTGGTGCAAAAAAATTGCCTGATCCTAGAGAATCTTGCAATCTATACAGCAGGAGTTTGCATTTTGCATGTACATTTAATCAGCAGTGGCAGTGTGACACCATTTTTGTCTTTTTTCTTCAAGTGTTAAACACTTCCTATGGCAGCACTGAGGATTTTTAAATTTAGGACTTAAGAGTACATTATGTACTTACTGGCCCTGCTGCTAACTTTGCAAGTCTGGTTTTGTGTTTTCTTTCATTTTATACCTGAAAAATCAGAATGCATTCGTTTGCCTCTTATACAGCATACATGGTGCTGATAAAAGCTTCAGAAGCAATTTCACCCCAAATTTCATTGTATCTAGATGTAGCCTGAAAGGCTGGATCATATTGCATGGTGAATTGGGCGAAATTTAAGAGTGTTACTTAAGTACCAGTTGTATCTTATATGCACCGCTATATGTTGCACAAGAGGAAAGAGGAAAAGAACAGCGGCATTCAGTACAGCTGGAAGTGAAAGGAGAGAGGAGCTGGAAGTGGGATGGGGAGAGGGGAGCTGGAAGTGGGATGCGAAGAGGGGAGCTGCCTGGTTGGAGCCAGCAGCGACGGCCTTGCCCAGGTGCAATACCGCTCGTGTACGGCAGGGGGCACTGCCGGCGCTGTCCCTCACACCGCCCCGGTTCCCAGTGGATCAGGTGCGAACGGGAGATTTTGAGTTTCCTTTCGCATCTGAGAGGTGGAACCCTAAAGGGAGAAACACCGTGTGTTCAGTGTGAGCTCCAGCCTATTAAGTCTGATGTTTTTCTGCGTGAAGGTACTCATTTGCCTGGGGCGAAGCTGGCATGAAGGGCTGTGCTCTTCTAGTGCCCAGGTGTGTTCAGGGGCAGGGACGTCAGTTCCCAGCTTCTTGGAAGACGATTCCCTCGTTGTTCCCTTTCCAGATTGGGCTGGTTTAACTCTGCTTCCTCTCCGGGAGCTTTCCCGGAGGAAGTGTTTGCTTTGGGAGGGCAGACCCTGGAATCCAAAGGCACTCGCCCTGCTGTTGTAGAAGCGGGGACCTGCTAATACGTTTCGCTGTATCCGTGATGGCGCGGGTTGGTGTGAGACGTTCAACACTTGGGGGTGCAGGGACTGTCATCCCGCCTCCCGCTGGCAGTTGTTTGTTTCTGGGGGTGGTGGTTACCGACACCCAGCGCAGAAGCAGCGGCCCGAGGGCTGTGGGATGAGTGCACCGCGTCTGTCGGTGTCTCGGGTAGAGGTGGAAGCCGAGCGGCCCGGCCGGCGATGCGATGCAGGCGCCGGTTGCCGTGGCAGCTCCGAGTGGATCCTCCCCGCGCCCGCCATGGCGGCCGTGCCGGCAGGGGGCGCTGCGGCGGCGGGCGGCGCCGCGCGGCGGGGGCGGGCGAGGACGAGGACGCCATTGCGTTGCTATGAGCTGTCGCTCCCCCTGCGGCGGCGGCGGCAGCGGGCGGACCGGGCGCCGATCCTGTGCCTGCCTTCCTCCTGACTCCTGCCTGTTTCCTGGCTTCAGCTGCCTGCCGCGCGGGCCGGGCTGTCCGTCCGGCGGCCTGGTGGCACTAGCGGGGCGGAGAGGATGAGCACGGCGGGACAGGGCGGCAGCAGCAGCAGCACGAGCGGCAGCAGCAGCATCAGCGCACGCAGCAGCATCAGCAGCCGCTGCCGCGGCGGCGGGGCCGGTCACTGAGCGAGGAGCACCGCGGCGGACGCAGGGCATGGAGCCCCAGCCCGGCGCCTCCCGCCCGGCCGCCGAGGAGGAGGAGGACGGCGCCGGCGGGTCCGGCGGGCAGCCGGAGGCGCTGTCGCTGGAGGAGATCCTCCGGCTCTACAACCAGCCCATCAACGAGGAGCAGGCGTGGGCCGTGTGTTACCAGTGCTGCGCCTCGCTGCGCGCCCGCGCCCGCCGCGGAGAGACCCCCGCCGCCAGGCTGGGGACGGCGGCCGCGCACCTCCGCGTCTGGCGGGACGGCGCCGTCACCCTGGAGCAGGACGAGCCCGACCGGCCTCCCCCGCCCGCCGCAGGTAAGGCCACGGGCCGCCGCCGGCGCCCATCCCGCGCAGCCCCCGGCGGCAGCGGCCGAGGGTCGGGCACGGGCGGCCGCCCGTCTCCATCAGCCTTTGTCCGGGTCGTGAGGCTCCTTCCCGCCCGAGAGTCGCGGTGAGCGAGCGCCCGGCTCCTCGGTCGTGCTGTGAGGGGTCTGCGTGTGTCTGTGTCCGTGTGTGTGTATCCCTGCGGCATCTCAGTGTCGTGCGTGGAAAGGCAGAACCCCGCGCCTGGGATGCGATCGCCTGCGTGTGAACGGGCAGGCGAATGCGGGTTCGGTGTTTTATAATTGCGTCGTCTCTCCTGGTGCGTAATCGATCCCGTGTCATCCGCACACCGGGAGTGCCGCTCTTGCGGGCTCCCTGCTCTTTGGCTTCGGGCCGTGCATCCCGCAGCGGCTCCCGGAGCAGTTTGGCATCAAAAGGCACCTATTAGAAATAGATCCATTTAGATGTGTGCTGACACTAAGTAAGTGAGAAAGCCGTGTACAGGGGCTTAGCACCTACCATCTGTTTCGTTGAAATACCCAGGAAAGCGTATTTTGTATTGGAAAGGAAAATGAGGGCGCATGTCTGTTTCTCAGCCTTTCAAAGCTTCTGGTTTTAAATGGGGAAAGCAGTATTTTTTTGTTGTTGTTGTTGCAAGTAAAGCTCGATTTCTAAAAAGAAATCAAAGATGGGCAGCAGAGGGATGTGGTCGATACATGATGGTATTCCCCAGTACCAGCGTAGTCCACATTGAACGTCACAGAATTTTCCGGGAAGACAGAGGTTTCAGCATTTTAAAGTTGTGTGAATCAGAAGGCAGTGGTAAATTCACAAAATGGGATTAATGGAGCCCTCAGCATTTAGAGCACGAATATTATGCCTGGTGTTACAATTTAATGAAGCCTTTTGATACAGTGCCTGTCTGAAAAGTCTTTTGGCAGAGGCTTGCAGTAATCCAGTTTGGAGCTAGTGGTACATGCAAATATCAAAATATATTTAGTGGAAGAAAGGACATAATTGAATTCTGCAATTTTAATGAATCTATCAACGACTTCCATTTAAATGTGATCTGGTGCTTTTAAAATTGTTTAAAAAAACAGGTCTTTGTAATGTTAATTAAATGCCAGACCAACACCCAGAAATTCCAGGAAAATGCATCTGCATGTCACAAGCGCATTGAAGAGTTCTGTGTTTCATGTCGTGTGCTGCTTTTACTTAGTCTTTTGAGATGACATCAAGAGCTTTTCTCTTTCCTATTGCAGGAAATACATTCGTTTACTATGCATTTCTTCATTTTGTGGCTTTTTTTTCTTGCTATTGGTGGACTTACTCTATTTCCTCTTACAGTATATCATTACTGGCTGTAGGAGGGTGTTGAATATACTTGGATATAAAGCTCAGGCCCCCCACTGATATCCAGCATGTTTTTTTATGCTACAGCTTTCCTGTGAAAATGTTTCAGTCAACATGCACTAACCTGTGTATGTTGATACCACATCTAAATTTTTGGATGGATTTTTTTTTTAATATTCAGCTAGCCCTGTTTTTCTTTTTTTCAACCTTATTAGTGTATGTATTATTCTGTATAACACCATATGTGTGCGCTTTTATCTTGAGAATCTTAAGAGAGTGTGTATATGTATCAAAACAAAGATAACCAGTCTGTTAAAGACCTCCCAGGAAAGCAGGAGGCGGGAGCTATCCCAGGGAGAGCACCCCCCTCCAGTGCCTATAATGGAAAAAGAGAGGCGGGGATTTTTCTGCCAGCTGTCCGTTCCTCAAACATCCTCGTGAGCCCGCTTTTCCATCAGCTGCAGGCTGGTAGGTGCCTGGATTTGAAGAGAGGCAGGATTCCTCCTGGGGTCCTCTCCCTGCCCCTGGCCTTCCTCATCTATCTAGCTTTGAATAGACTTTGGAAACAGAGGCCACTCAGCCTCCAAGCTTCCACGAGGCATTTTGTATCTTCTTTGATTTGTGAAACCTGGAGCAGGTTTTCACTGGAAATTGTTATATATGTGATACATTGAATGTTGGGAATTCACTGTACTGAATATTGAGGAGCCTGACAGAAGGCTTGCTTCTCGTTGATATCTTTTGAGCCGTCCCTGTTCTTTTCCTTATTCCTCACTGCATTCTTTCTGGGTGATGATTAATGAGCTTCCTCAGCACTTACAGCTTGAGTCTCTAGAATGGGTATTTGTCTGTAGGCTCCTGTATTCTGTTTGCACCAGTAGAAGTTTAGGAAGAAGCAGTGCCCTGGCTCTGTGGCCTGGGGAGCAGAACAACACAACAGGCCCTGAAGCTATATGGTCACAGTAATTTTACTTTCAAGATACAAATTAAAGTTCTCTTGGAAAGAAGTACTGATTATGTAGAAACTAATGGTACTTTTCCAAAGCAGTTTCTTGTGAAACACTTTTCCAGTTTATGCTCAATACTTGAAATGCCAAATAACAATACATAGAAATTGAAGAAAAATGTCCTTGAGATCGGAAAGAGATGTTTCCCTGATAGTGGGGCAGAAAAAATGCCCTTGGAGTTGAATCCCAGTCCTTAAACAAAAACAGAGACTGATTTTCAGCTCTTTCCAGTTTTATCTGTGTGATCTATTAATATTTTATTATCTTAAAAAATTATGTTTTGGTTAAAAAGAAGTAAAAAGATGAAGGATGAAAATGCCGCCCAGTTGTTCATTTTCATTTCACCATTGATATCACCTGAATCCCTGACAAGAGGAGGATCAGGAAGGATTCCTGCTAATTGTTTTCCTGCCTTTGTATTTCAGACAATTTAGATTTAAATGCCTGTGTCACAAGATTTGTCAGAGCAATAGGGGTTCTGCGGGTTGACACGCTCTGAGTTCTAAAGCTGTTTCATTCTAGCAATACATAAAAAATGTATAGGTGTAGGTTGGTGCATAGGTTTGGATAATTCACAGGAACAAATATTGCCTGTTAGCTTCTGTTTTAGTAAACAACAGAGTCCTGTGTAGGCAAATAAAGGAATCCCGGAAGAATGGTGTCTTTGGGTAGTGAACATTCGGGCTTTGTCCAGGATTGTGGTGAACGATGTGATCAGTCACGCCTGTCAGTGGGGCTTGTGCGAAGTCAGGAGCAAACGCAGTCGTGCCACAGAGTTTGCTCTAGAGATACACATGAGAGCATATTTTTACAGAGCAGTGCAAACCTTTTTATTTTTCAGTACCAAAGTAAGAAAGAAAGATTTTACATGAATATGCAAAATAAACGTAAAGCTCACTGTGGTTGTCTTAGTATGGATCATTGTCTGACTTCTAAATACCACAAAAGTGTGGGTTGCTTCAAAATATTCATGGTGAAATTGGAGATACAGTGTAGAATTTATTTTAGCTAATTGGTGCTTTAGCAGTCTTTGTTACTTGCAATTTATATGAAAAGAGCTAACGGTAGCATCCAGTAAAGTGCCAGATGCAGTAAAATATAACTTCTGAACTAGCTAAAACGTTTAGGGTAAACACGGGGTTTGACTCCTCCAAGCTCTCTTTTTGCAGAACCACATTTACACATGTTTTTATAAACTTGAAGCAATAATGAAATGATAGATACAGGAGCAGAAAATCTGTACAAGAGCTGGCAGTTGACATCATGCCCAGGATTCAGGGGCACCAGGATACTGCAGGACGCCAGAGTATTCTGTTGGTGTTGTATCATTGCTGCAAGCTGGATAAGGAGCTCTTGCTTTCCAGCACAGAAGCTGAAAGAAGTACCTCTTTCCCAGAGGTGGGAAACAGAACAGTTTTGGGGGTGAGTAGGCTTGGTGAAATGAGGGTTTTCCCTGCATGTTTTGTTAGTGCCAGATCCCTGGCTTAGCAAAGGCAGCAACCAACTTTGGGCATTGCGCTGAGCTCCTGAAGAGGAACAGCCACGAGGATCTTGGAAAGTGGCAAAGAAGGGTATTTTGAACACCGAGGCCAGCTCACTTCCAGCTGTTGGCTGTTGAGGGCTGGCATGAATGTGGTGCTCCTCAGCCTTCCATCTCCCTCCTGAGACCCTGAACTGTGGGTAGTGCCCTTCTTTTGCCTCGTCCTCCAGCCCTAGGAGAGAAAGCACACAGGGAAATGACTGCTGGTCTTACCAGAAGCGAGTACTATGCAGATTTTTCTCTTGGAAATCTGCCAGGCATTCAGCAGGAGGGCATAATGCATGGAGTATTCTGGCTTTGAATCAAAAAGATCACAGAAAAGTTGACTGCATGGTGGCTTTCACAGACTTGGAGGGCTCAGGGTGAGACATGCTGGAGAAGAATAGTTTATGTTGTCTTGGCAGTTTTAATGACTTCCATGTCCCTCTTACATCCTTGTGTGCCCAGGTTTTGGAAGGCAAGAATAGAGAAACAGGATGAATAAATGCAAATTCAGCTTGTGTGCATGAACACATTCTTACCTATCAGTCTCTGGTGGATTGCTCAGGAAAAATACACATTATTTTTAGAGGAAAATGAATATACTACAATTTTTCTTCTAGTTTTGTTGACCCTTTTTAAAGATGATGGGTGGGAGTAGCCTTTCTTGATATTTAAGTTTTGAAAGAGATGTTGGTGCTAAATAGTGCTAAAATAAATAGTACCTTTAGGATGAAGACTTAATAATGTTCAGAGTTCAAATCTAATTCAAGGGTATTCAGAAGCATCTGTATTTAAAAACAGTAAATCTTGATGTATTGAGCCTCACTTTTTTGTGCAAGAGTTTTAAGATAGATACTTATATAGGTATTTTAATATTGGATGTCAAGGTAGGAAGAAAATAGTACTAGACAGCAGAGAGGAGCTTCAGTGAGTTGATGCTTTTATCTCTTCTTGCTCTACTGGTCTGTGGAAGAGAGAAAGCTTAGGCCTTATTTAAGCCAGGCCTTCTGTCATCAGTGTGGTTCCCAGTACGTAAGCGTGAACTGGAAGGCTTCCAGTCATGGCTTATGCGGATGCATCCCATGCACTGGGGGTTACGTGGGCTCTCT